CTTCATTTCGACCTTTAGTAGTTTTCCGACGCCTCGACGAAGCCGGTTCTTCGTTCTTCTCCTTACAACGGCTTCGCACGTGTCCCACACCTGTCCGCAGTTCCAGCAACGAATCGGTCCCTTCTTGCCCATGTACTGGTCCATTACCTTCCGAACAATCCCTTCCACGGATTCGTCGGAACATTCGTCGATGACCCGTACTCTTCCTAAAGACCGAGAACTTTGTTTCGCGGCCTCAAATTCTAGGGCACGTGCTAAAGCATCCACCAAGTGCGTTGGGTGGGGTAGGAGAAGTGCTTGTCTTGTCTCGTTGTCACGTAAGCCGTCGGAGAATGCCTGTACTGCCAACCGCTCCATAACATTCTCTGGCGTAGCAGGGTACGCAAGGCGAACGAGGCGGGCTACGTCGGCTTCAAACTCCTGCAGAGACTCATTTGACTTTTGAATGCGATTTTTTTAGCTGGGAATGATAGACATGTTCCAAATGAGCTTGGCCGTACCTCATTTCTAAATGTCGTACCAATTGCTGATAATCTCCCTGTTCCGATGGTGACAATGTCTGCAGAATATCAGTCGCATCTCCTCGCAATTGCGACAGTCAAAGCTTGGTAGCCTTTTCAGCGATTGTCCATCCGTTCGCTCTCGCAGCTGACCTCAAACTGGCAAAAATAATTGGCCCAAGCGGTTTTCCGTCAAACTGTGGAGGCTTAATAACTGACTTTGAGATATACTTATTTTCGACTAGTTTCCGGTGCACTCCGATGTTTCTTGACATTTTGGGTGAATTGGCCTTTTTCTATTTCTTGTTTAAAATTTCGATTTTTTATTTACATCGTCCTCAATTTGTGTTATTTTTGTCTTGTAGCTCCGTAGGAATTCTCTATAATCTTTTCTTCTAATTCCTGGAATTTTCTGTTATCTTTTTCTTCTAAATTAAGTATTTTTATTATTAAAGCTGGCCTGTATGTCTTTAGAATTTTCTGCGATCTTAACTCTTCCAAAATATTAATTTTATCACTGATTTTCTCTTCTAAATTAACTTCAAGTTAGTTAATCATTTTTACTATTCAAATTGTTCAAGTTGTCGTTTAAATTGTCTTGTAAATTTTTTCAATGACGAGTCAAGGTCACCTTCAGCTCAAAGCAAAATGTTTCAGGATCCTCACCTTCCACCACCAAAACGTCTCTCAGTCTGGCTTGCAAAATGCTTTTCTTTCCATCTGTCTCGCACTCTCTCTCTTCCAATATGCATTTTCAGTTCCGGACGCTTTCAAGTCTTTCAACAATTTTTTCAGAGCCATGGTCAGTCTTTTTATTCTTCTAGTCTATCACACACGCCACACTTGACACCAATTGTTACGTTTTTCGTCGGTTCCGTGTGGATAGAAAGTCACAATTTATTTAAACACTATTTATTTAACACTAATGAACAAAAATAATAACGATAAAAGAACTATTTACAAACGATTTATAACTAAGAATTTATTTTGAATTTTAGCGCGTCAACTGTATATTTATAACTGCCCTCTCTAGGCCACTGCCGCCGGCTTTTATACCGACAGGTAAAAGAAATCTAGAATAGTCCAAAGATCGTTAGGCGCATAGAGAAGGTTTTCGAATGTTCTCGTATGTACGCGTCCATTCTAGTGGGTCTCGATTCTTCTCGAACGAATGAATCATTGCGGTGTCTATGCGATGTTAAGGTCATCCGAGGGCGGGCCATATTGTGAGGTTAGGTCGAGTCCACACCGGCTCGCAACAATATCAAGATGCGGTTTTCGCTGACTTTTTAAGCTTTTACTACTCTTTATTACCAGCTAAAATAACACATACTATCTTATTTAATTTTTTTGAAAAAACGCGCTATGTTTGTTACATTGTCTGAAAGCGCCCCCTAGCGTCTACGTTCAAAACCTTATTATTCTTATTATGATATAATATTAGAGAACAACGGCATACGGTCGAATCGGCCGCTGCTGGCACGTATACGTAGACGTAAAGAATCTTTTACGTGTATAAAAAATATAAGAAATGCGCATGCGTACGTAAACGTTTACGTGTTTGTAGGCCGATTCGACCGTATGCCGTTGTTCTCTATTATAAAGTAAGAAACGCTTTTTTAAACGAGCCCTCGTTTGTTGGATTCTGATCATCCAGTCCGGAGTTATTATCATATATACATCAAGATATGTATACATATCTATCTATACATAGATACATCAAGTAGTTATGAAATTTTAGTTATGCAATTATTAGCAGATTATTACTACTATCAGAGATACTATTTTTGTTTTGTTTGTTCAGACATGTGTAAATTATCTGTGATTTTTAACTTGAATTAAATATATTATATCTATCGTATATCATATTTATTAAAGGTTAATAATAGAGAAACATATCTACTCAAATTCAATTATATCTTTATTAAGATTTAATAACACAGATAAAACCACAAATTTTAAATTACAAATTTAGAAGTTCAAATTCATATACTTTAAAGCTACATTCTATTTAAAGCACACTAAGCAAATTTATGAAAAATATGCGAAAAATTCGTCAAAAATAAAATTTAACCATATTCTACGTAATATAGAATATAATTGTAATATGCAATTATATCCTCAAAAAAATCTTGTCCTGTATCAAAATACAATTTTATTACATTTCTACACTCAGATGCAAAAAAACGCAACGGAGAAATTTTTGATCAAATTTAAAGTGTTATATGTATTTTTGTTATTTTTAGCCCTATTTTCATAATTTTTTTACTAAGCTGCATATAATTATACAGGGTTGTTCACCACATACGACACGGAGTATTGTAGCTAAACGACTAGATTTTTACAAATTGTAAGTTTTGGGTTCCTTGAAGGACTATTAGAGTTACAATTTAAAAATATTTTTACAAGATACAGAGTGTCCCAAATAAATAAAAAATATCAAAGTTGTATTTTTTTAAATGGAACACCCTATATATTATTACATTTTTAGTTTGTACGATTAAAATAAAAGTAAATTTTATTATGGTTTATTACACTTAAACCTTACCGTTTTTGAAATATTTTCAATTTTGTGAAATTGCAGTATAAATTTTAAAGCTTCATTTTTCCGAGGGTATCAAAGTTTTTAATACTAAATATTTACTGAAGTTTATTTATTGATCAGTTATTGTGTTGCAATAATAAAAACTTTACTACCTTAAACAGAGTGTCTAAAAATTTATTTTAAATAATTACTAGCTTTAAACGGCAATAACTTGTTTAATTTAAATGTAACACCCTGTATATTTTATGAGAATCAGATGCACAATTTAATTGTCTATCAAATTGTATTATACCATTTTTTACCTATCTCTTCAAGTTTCCGTAGAAAATGCATTTTCTTGTAATTTAGAACTCATTTATATACTGACATTTTAGATTATTTTTAAAGATATACCAAATTTTTAAAGAGTACAGATACTAATATTGTCGATATAGTTCGTTTATTTCATTAAAAAATAAAAAAAACTGTTTAAATATTTGTTAAAGAGAACCAATTAATATGATTCCAGTATTCAAACTACATTAATTGACTGTTTGCGTTGATTAGTAATAATTGCTACAAATACTAAAAAACTGAATTATGTATGTGTATTAAACAGTGTGGTAAAAAGTAACACCTTAACAATGATATTTAATTTTTTGACAAATGCTTATTTATAACAACAGAGACGTTCATTTTCATAACTTATTATTATATTGATTTCTGATTCAAATCCACATTTATTTAGAATAATTTATTAACGAACACAATTAAGTATGTAGTTAATTAGTATTTGGGCGGAAATACTGGTGGTATATTTAATTACTGGTATATATATATATATCTTTTATAAAGATTTAAATCATTTCTTTTTGCATACAAATGGGCTAGTAATATTATCGTTTTTCTAAAAACGATAATATTACTAGCCTGTACATTTTGTACATTTGTTGTTTTAAAAACAATCTAAAATGTCAATATTCCATGAGTATATTGATAAATGAGGTCTAAATTATAAGAAAATGCATTTTCTACGAAAACTTGAAGGAATAGGTAAGAAGTGGTATAATACAATTTGATAGACAATTAAATTGTGCATCTGATTCTCATAAAATATACAGGGTGTTAATTAAATAAGTTATTGCCGTTTAAAGCTAGTAATTATTTAAAATAAAATATTTTTTTAGACACTCTGTATAAGGTAGTATAATTTTTATTATTGCAACACAATAACTGATCAATAAATAAACTTCAGTAAATATTTAGTATTAAAAACTTTGATATCCTCGGAGAAATGAAGCCTTAAAATTTATACTGCAATTTCGCAAAATTGAAAATATTTCAAAAACGGTAAGGTTTAAGTGTAATAAACCTTAATCAAATTTACCTTTATTTTAATCGTAGAAACTAAAAATGCAATAATATACAGGGTGTTCCATTTAAAAAAATGCAATTTTGATATTTTTATTTATTTGGGACACTCTGTATCTTGTAAAAATATATTTAAATTGTAGCTCTAATGGTCCTTCAAAAAACCCAAAACTTACAATTTGTAAAAATCTAATCGTTTAGCTACAATACTCCGTGTCGTATGTGGTGAACAACCCTGTATATTGTATTATATAGTACACAATAATCACCAAAGCCGCCTTGTCATACTAAAAAATAACTTAAAAAAAATGATAATTAAAAAAATTGCAAATTGTTGATGGCAAGTTCATTTTGTTCTTAAAAATTTACCAAGGCATGTATTGACATGATCCAAAAAACAAAATGCTCAGGAGACATCGTTCAGACTTTAAAATTATATTATCGGAAAATTTACACACGAAATTATTGCATAGGGTGTTTTAAAGTTAAGGTAAAAAAACAACCACTCAATTAATGCTGTATAATATGCCAAATACCTACTAAAGTTTATAAAAAACTGAGTTTACGAATTTAAGTTGATATAATTATTATACACTTGCTAAAAAAATTATGAAAATAGGGCTAAAATAACAAAAATATAACACTTAAAATTTGAGCAAAAAATTCTCCGTAGCGTTTTTTTGCATCTGAGTGTATAAGATATTTGCATTCTTAAAGCTCTATAGAATTAGCCTCAAACTATTTAACATATAAAGCTATATATTGATTAGAATTATATAAAGTTATTAAATCTTCCTATGAGTAACATAGGAATAACATCATTACAATTTATTTCAGCCCATTTGCTAACTCTATTGAAGCTTTACTGATATCTAACTTTTTAATATGAGAGGGTAAATGATCTCTAACTATAAATCTTTTGTCCGACGATTCTGTAATTTTTTTCAAATAACCAAACCAGTAAATAACTAATCCAGGTCCAAACCTAAAAATATATTTTTTTTTTGAATAATTTTTTTAAAAAGTTCCTTCACCAAAATGTCAAGATAAAATAGCGATACAACCTTTAATAAATTTATTAATGTTATACCAATTATTACCTGTTCCAATAGCTTAAATACTGGTTCTTAGTATAATCTCTGTGCAGTTCTTCATCAGCAAACAAAGCTTTACTTTCTATCCAATTAATCACAAAACCATCGATAGCTACAGGAACCTCTAACTTTAAATCTGGTGTTTTGTCGTACCCAAATTTTCTCAGGTATTCCTCATCACGAAAAGTTAAGCCCAATGCCATAGCATCCTTATGAAGACGAATTTCGTACTGTTGTCCTAATGACCTAATAAAAAAAGAATAATACAGTATATCCATTATATTTTTTCAAAAGAGACTTACATTTTCATAGCATCTGCTAATGGGCTATAGAGATTATCAAACACAGTACACTAAAACAAAAAGGAATACGTTTAAAATGGAAAACAACATACATATGAACCTAATAATAACTTACCAGAAATACCTCATATGCTAAATCAGAATCAGGGATCATATAAGTGTTTTTTAAATATTTGTTTACATTTATTTGAGCCTCCCGAGCCTCCTTTTTATCCTGTTGAGTTTTCTCTGTTTCCTGGTCATCGAAATATTTCTGTAAAATCAGTTTAGCCATTAAACAAGGAGCAATATCAAAAAGCTCCGACAATTTGACTAAAATACCGGGTCTTTCTTGATTCTCTACACCTTTACGAAACAAGTCCCAATATCGATTTCGATTATTTTGACTTTTGCCGTAATTACTTTTCATTCGGCGTTGATACTCCACACTTAAAATGCTATATAAAGTGTTTGTGTTAAGACTAAAAATAAAAATTTTGGTTTGTTACAGTACTAAAATATAAAATATAGTTCAATACTTAGGGAATGTTTCTTGTAGTTTCTTTGCACAGTTTCTTGTAAGTCCACTAAAATGTCTGATAACAGTAACAATATCGTTGTATAAAGTAATATCCATTTTTAAAGATTAATATCACAAAATGGAAAAGGATTAAATTAGATTTCAAATATCGTATTCCGCCAAAAGTAAACAGAAAAATCAACAAATTTTTCTAGGTTAGCTTCCGCCTGTCAACTAAAACCATAGTTGCCAGGTCAAGCGAATTTTTGGAAAGAGTCTGAGTTTTTATAGAAAAGTGATGCTGAGGAAAATTTGTAGAAACAAATAAACTTTAGAAAACATATTTTTATACAAGATTTAATGAAAATTTAATTTGAAATTTTCAAATTTGGAATCTGTAATTGTATTGGAAGAAAAAAGCTTCTAAACGATATTCATTAATAATAATATTAAAAGTTGTTTCTTTAATTTATTTGAGATATGTATAAACTATAGTGATGGGCAAAACTGTTATTTTTTAGATAACAGTTGAAACTATTATAGTTATTTATAAAAAACAGCTTAAAATAACAGCTTAAAAATAACAGGTTTCTTTATTTTATTGCTAAATATCTGAAAGAGTATGAAGCGGTCGCCGCCAGGCGTATTAACGCAGTTGCAAGTTGCTACAATGACATGCTCGGTGGTAGTATTTCCAGGGTGTCTAAAAATTTCTAAATATCGATTGTTATCTAAAATACCTCTCTAAAAACGGTCGTTGTTTACAAATAAGCGCTGTTTACAAATTGCGATATAAAAAAGCCAAAATTCCGCCACTCGTCTATACGTATACATTCCGATCTACCTACGCCTTGCCCCTCGATCGGCGTAGATCCTGAATTGCGTAGCAGTGTACAGGGTGCATCTCACTCGACGGGCAAGAAGCTCTTAGTTATAATTTTACCATTTGTGGTCAAAAAATAGCAATATAAGAAAATGTGTAGTATATTCTTCATAAGTAAACCAACTATACACTAGAGTTCGAATTAATTTTACACTTAAACTAGCGTGTACCCGCGACTTCGTTCGCGTCGAATTAATAATTTGTAATGGTGATGATAAAGCAAAGCAAGAATTTCTATTGACATACAAACTGGATAAAATTTTCTCACATTTGCCAAAAATAAGCTTTAAACGTCGAGCAGTTTAAGCAGAATCGTGGTTAATCAATTACTCAACTTTTTGGAACACCCTGTATTATTTTTTAAAAAATTTCAAAATATGTAAAAAAACAAAATAAATTATGCGTGTCCAAGCGTTTTCCCGAAAGACTAACCGTTTTTTAAATAACAAATATTGTAATATTTGAGGGGCGTTTTCACCCTCTTGGAATTTAAGATTCGAGAAACCCCTCCTTATCGAACCTCAACCCCACAGTCAATCCGTTTGCCAAAAATCAGCTTTAAACGTCAAGCAGTTTAAGCAGAATCGTGATTACTCAATGGTCACATTTTATGAAACACCCTGTATATATTTTTAAAAAATCTTAAAATATGTAAAACAACGAAATAAAATATACGTGTTTAAGAGTTTTTCCGGAAAACTCACCGGTTTTTAAATAAAAAATATTCTAATATTTGAGGGTGGTTTCACCCCCTTTGAATTCGAGTTTCGAAAAATCCCTTCTTATCGAACCTCTACACCCTAAAGTCAATCCGTTTTCCAAAAATCAGCTTTTTACGTCAAGGGCTTTAAGCAGGATCGTGATTAATCAATGACCAGATTTTTCAAAACACCCTGTATACATTTTTAAAAAATCTTAAAATATTATTCTGAAAATTTTTCAGAATAAATAAATACCTAAATATTGAAACTTAATAACGTACTGAAACATACAGCGCCATAATATCTCGACCTCCGCCCGTTATGCTCGTAACAGGTTGAAAAACAATATATCTAAAACAACTGATGCGTTATTCTCCAACCTGTTTCGAACTTCCATCGACAATCGACCGATGCAGCAGCCTTCCTTTCCCACTCCTGTTATCTCGACCGCCAGGCGTTATGCCCGCAACTGTTTCAAAAAACCTGCTTCTTTTATATCCTATTATTTTTAAGCTGTTATAAGCGCAATACGACCGTCGACGGGATCGACCGAAGCAGCTACGTTCGCCGTAGCGCATTCCCCACTCCGTTGTCCGTTGTCTCGCCGCCTGTATCGATGGTTGACGAAATAACAGGTTTTCCATCCATACTAGTTGTTTTTTGGAATTGCTTCGAGCAGCATAGAATTTCGGGGCGGTGCAGAGCGCCGACTTCGTTTTTCGTTTCACGAGCGGCCGATCTCTACGTGTCGTTATTTTATATCTGTTATTTTTTAGAAGCAGTAACGGTTGCGTTATGTTATTTCTAAATAATTGTTATAAAATAACAGATAGTTAAATAACAACCCATCACTAATAAACTAAATTTTTAACTAACTATTACGAATTATTGTTCTAATTACTGACATTATTGATAATATGGCATTAAAGTTAGTTATTTTTGTGTCAACAAAAGAATTATTATTATTAATTAATCACAGATTTAAGAAATTTGCAAAATTTGATCTGGCAATGCCGACCACAACCACAGTAGCGCACGTGCAATGGAAGACCACAATTTAAATTAGCCGATTGCCGTTTTGAAAGGTTTTTTGAAATAAATTAGCAATAACTGTCAATCAATATAAATCAATCTAATTATGCTGTCGAGTCAAAAATATATTTCGAGAAATCCATACGTCCGATCAAGTTTAATCAACTTTTATTGCAGTGATAAGAAAAAAGACAAAGCCGATCTCCTAAAATCCACTGAAGTAATAACTGAAAATTACGACCAATGTTCCGAATTTGAGGACAAAGTATTAAGGCAAGTTTTCATAGAAAAAGGAAAAGAGGCCGTCCTCCAGAGTAATTTATCCAAAGAATGCAGAACGCTATTTAATGCGCCTTTGAACAAGATCCGTCTTGGCAAGAACGTTTCCATACATTTGGAACAGATACCAATAAACAAGGAACGAGAATGTATAAATTGGGAAACGTATAATTTTGATCAACTGCAAGGGAAACTGTTAGAGCCAGGTACGTGTACTACTGTCACCACTATTAATCCGCCGACAATCGAGGTGAAAGAAAACTTGGTAATTGAAAATAAGAAAATTGAAAAACAACCATCTGGAGGTGGTGGTGGTAATAATACTGGAGCACTAATGATAAACAGACCTATCAGACAAGAACCAGGAAAAGTAAGTTTTCTTTTAAATTAACTAATTAATATTTTATATAATAAATCAAAAACTATCTATATGTATAGGGGGGCCAAACTTTATATAATTTGATGGACGTCTCTATACTATAATAATAAAGTGCTTGTAATATAACCACAGCCTATTCAGTACAAGCCGGCCAACTTATAGTTTTTTATATCGATTTTTTCTTTGCTTAAAAAACGATCGATTCTGACGTCTCTTCTATATTTCTGACTACGCGCATGTACAGAGTGTCCCACTAAGAATAGCTCTCGGCTGTATCCCGGAAAATATTAGTCGTAGAGTTTGCGGAAAAAAATATTTATAACTAAAGAGAGCATGAGAAATTGCTGGAAATTATTTTCAAGTTTGTAGAGCGGCCAAGAGGGCGCAACTGCTATTAAAAATAAGAAAAAGGAGTTTTTACACAATTTTGCCGAAATAACGGATACCTACTATAAATAATAGATTCATAATCTTCAATAATTTTTGCATATTTTTTGTTGGAACCATTTCCTCTCAGTTAAATTAAAGTGGTGGGGGAAGGTTAGATCTGTTTTTATTTAAATATTAATAACTCCGGACTGGTTGATCGGAATCCAACAAGTGAGGGCTCGTTTAAAAGAGGGTTTCTTACTCTATATTATACCATATAAACAATAAAAATAAGCTTTTCAACGTAGACGCTAGGGGGCGCCGTCTTACAATTTAACAAACATTACGCGTTTTTTCGAAAAAGTTAAATGCGATAGTATACGTAATTTTAGCTGATAATAAAGAGTAATAAAAGTTTAAAAATTCAGCGAAAACCGCATCTTGATATCTTTTCTCAAACCAAAGTTATTAGCAAAATTATAATAAATACGAAAAAATAAGCCCTTCTAACACACTAGCCTTCTTTATTATGACCATACTAATACAAAATAAGATAGAAAAGATTATTTCATTCAAAAAATCGATAATGTACCAAAATACCATAATACAGGTGTATTAATATCTAATACCTAATTAAGATATCAATGAGAGTGACTAAGAAATGACCCCGGTAGGCTTTGGAAAAAAGTTGCTTTTAAAGAGATAGTTTAAACTCAAAATATTATTATATCAACAATTTGATAGTCTCAGCAGCGTTTTTTATCTTTTAATTGCTTTTCTAAAAATGTCTTTCTTCAACAGAGAAGAAACGCTGTTAAGACTATCAAAATGTTGATTGAATAACTCTTTGACGTTTATACTAATACGTCAAAAGCATCTTTTTTCCAAAGCCTACCATGACTTCACTGAGGCGTCGTTTTTTATTCACTGTCATTGATATCTTAATTACACAAGTATACACGGTTTTGGACCTGAGCAACTAAAAGCAATTTCTAAGATAATTTTTGGAGCTGAATCCAAATCAGCAGTCCATTTTTTAAGATTGGTTCTAGTTTTCGAAATATTCAATAAATTCATTATTAATGGTCATTTATTGAATTAAACGATATAACTGAAACAAATAGAGTTAACTGAATTTTATACTGTTTGGGATCGCTCTTGTTTGATTAGGTCCACCCATAGACTTAAAATAAAATATATAGACTATACTATTTACATCTAAACGCAGTCAAACAATCTGTACACATTGGGCAATAAACAAACGGAGCCTTCCTCATCCAGCCTATGTTATCACGTCTTTAATATTATCAATATTTTTTTTTCTTGTTATACATATATTGAGATATTAATACTACAGTTTAATAAAGTAGGCTTTAATATTCCATAGATGTATTAAAGAGTCCTTATACTACTAAATTATAAGTGGGATACTGTTTAATAAGGATAAGTTCTTACAATATGACAACACTGATTAGAGGCGAGGGAGCCTGTTCATTCATTTATTACCTTGTAGTACGTCTCGCACGTGTGCGGTAAAGCTTTGCTGCCGCTATCTCCCCGGCCGTATTAACGCATTTCTTCTTAGCTTGTAGTCCTCAAGTGTTTATTTTATTGACTTTTTCTGTTCAAAAATATAAAATATGGTTCGCCATTGCCAAATTTGGTGAAGAAATTTGACTGCAAATAATCCATTTAAGTCTTGAACCGACTTTTGACCGGTAGGCAACTCAATTTACCCATTAGGAATCAGTGGCGTTGTTGTAGCTTATTTAGATAATATTTAGTAAAATGTAAAATCTGAATTTTTTCTCTTACATTACATTATTTACTTACTAATATTGTAATTAAAATCATAATTATAACCCTGTTAATAATTAATAATGTTTTATTAAAATATATTCCGGTTTATTCTAAAATTATCTTCAGAATCTAAAATAACATACAGTAATTTTAAAATGATATTACATTATGAATATTTTAATATACCGGGTCGTCTCAAAAGTGGCTCACCCTATAATCTTATTTTTTTCTCAGATAAAAAACAGATTTGTATGTTAGTAGGTATATGACATAAATTAGGATTTTATTGACGTATTCAATTGTTTTTGGTCTCTTCCTGTTTCACCGAAATGATTACATCTTTTGATTTTAAAGACACCTTCGGTATATTGCTACTTTATTCGATAAAAATGACACTTCTGAATAGAATGACATATCATATGTTTTGACATTGTCGCTTAAAAACATATCCTATTTTAAATTTCAATCCAGGGTGCCATGGTGTTATTAAAAACACTAAGTTTTAATCAAGGAGCCTTGGAAAAATAGTTTTGATCGTCTAATAGGTTTCGTGTCTTGTCTAGGCCGGTTAAAAGATATACAAATCGTATTATATCGACATATGTATGATTAAAAAATCATACATATGTCAATTTTTTCAAATGAAACAAGGGTGACTCATTAGCATATTTGGAAAAAGCATTTTTTTATGAATATATTGATACCATAATACAGCATTGATGTCACTCATTAATGGTATTCTGAGTCAAATTGTCGTTATGAACCGCGCGGGCATAATTACAACAACAGGCGGAAATGTCAAAGTTGACATATGATATGTCATTCTATTCAGAGTGTCATTTTCTATCGAATAAAAGAATATTAATTTATGGGTGCCGTTTAAAAATTAAAAGTTATAGTCGCTGGTGAAACAGGAAGTGACAGAAAACAATTATGTCAATCAGATCCTTAATTTATGTCATATACTAACATGCTAAATCTTGTTTTTTTTATTTGAAAATATAAAAAAAGTTGTAGGGGTCAGCTACTTTTTGGACGCACCCGGTATAATAAAGACAGTATCGTGTTAAATAAATGTAGTTTCCATTTTATCCACTTCCTATCATCTTCCTTGCTTTAATGGAACAGATTTATGTTTTCTAATTTTATATAATATTATCACTTAAATCAGAAAAATGCATACTAATCATTTTTCTCTCCCTGTCGCAGATTCTATTATATCTGTGGAATAGATCCTGTTTGATTAATATTAGGGGTTGTAAATGTTTGACTAAATTAATAATTTATTATTAATTTCAGATTACATAATTTCGATTATAAAATTTCTTCTATAACGTATTTACATGTTATCCTTTTGGACTCTAAGACGTTTCAACTTTTATTTAAAAACTATTCTTTAATAAAATATAAAATAGTTTAAATACGATATATTTTTAATTAATTATAGCTTCATTAAAATAAAAAACACCCAATATAAATTTGAGAGTTCCAGAAAATGGAGAAACGAAAGACAGTGTTGTGTTTCTGGCAGAGTCGTCAGGGAACGACCGTTACGACAGAGACAACCTATCTATCGCTCGTGTCGCACTCGTTATAACCTAAAACAATAACACAACAATAACAAGACAGTGTCTGACCGCATGTTCCAGCTATTTATGAATGAGATGCTCAGTCTATATTTTATTTTAAGTCTATGGGTCCAACAGTAATCGCTCATCATGCCTTCGTCCCAAAATCCTTGGTATCGCCTATCGATTTTTGCTATATCTTGGTGTAGCCGCTCTCCTTGCTCGTCGCTCGTGTCGCCCAAGTTTTGTGGAAAAAAATCAAGATGTGAATGCAGAAAATGTATCTTGAGAGACATTCGAGCTCCAATCTTGTGGTAATTTTGCAACAAATTGTCGATTTTTGCCGGCGGTTCTCAAAAATTTTCGATTATTTACAATATTTAAAAAAATTTATATTTTATTTTTACAAAGAAATAAGTTGGCACAACTGGAACGGGCAGGAAAGGTTAAGTATTTAAAATTTGACTGACAAGTGATTACTTCAAAATATTGTGAAAAAAACTGTATAAAACTGAAAAAATGTAATCGAGTTATTTAATTCTAATAAAAACAGTATGTGTTAATACAAAACAAACAAGAACAAGACATGTTTTCAAGAAAAAGATAAAAAAGAACTATTTCTACTTTCAAGCTTTATGAAACTTCCAGCATTTATGATTATATTTATCAATATAACTTACGTACAAATACAAATTAGTAATATTCCGCAGGAATAAATAAACAACATAAATAAAAACAAACAATTTTATTATTAATAACACTTAGCAAATTTTATAGGTACCTTAAAGGCTGATTAATTTAACTTTAATCTAATTTTTTAAACCAGTACCTTTGGCATTACTAAAATCCATTATTTACGTATCGTGTGATGTCGATATTTTACAGCTACTCCAGTTTTTAGTATGTGTTTAGTATGGTCCTTCTACCATATTCGAGATGCACTTGTCTACGACGAGATGGTAGGTATACGAACTTTAATCACGGCATATAAATCACACGGCAGGCCGACTCGCTTTGGCGGGAACGCTACGCGCATATCCTCGCGCACGCCGCCATTTGCGTTTCCATCAACAGAAAGTAACCAGTGTCGTAGTTTTTTCAGCGACAACACACAGTTACGGCAGATTCGAGTCAGTAGCGTGCGGCTTAATTTATTTTGATTTCTTCTTGAGTGATATATTTGTTGTTTATTTTTGTTTTTATTATTAATAAATAACTTGTTATTTATTAAACCCTTATAATGCCCGGTGAATA